GGCTCAGTTGGTTAAGCATCTGCCGTCGGCTCAGGTTATGATCCCGGGGTCCTGGGATCAAGGCCCGAGTCGGGCTCCCTGTTCAGTGTGGAGTCTGCTTTTCCCTCCCTCCCCCTACCCCCGCTCCTGCTCTCTCGCTCTCTCTCTCAAATAAAATAAATAAAACCTTAAAAAAACAAAACAAAAAAAATAATAGTTGCCCTGATAGATTAAAAAAAAGGGCAGGGGGAGGCAATGCAGACACCTGCGGATAGAGAATTGGGTAAATTAATTGTGGTAGTCACACATGTACTTTGCTACTGTTTAAAAAGGTGTTATCGAAAAGATATTTGTAGCACTTTGATAAGTAAAAAAAAAAAAAGGCTGTAAAACAGTTTGTACAGTATTAACCCATTTTTGGAAAAAAAAACAATGCATAATGCCCACCCCTAGAAAAAACTGGAAACATCCACGCCAAAATGTCAGCAGTGGTTTTCTTTGGGAAATGGCAGTGCAGCTGGTTCCCCCTTCCTTTGCTTATTTGTATGTCATAAATCAGCTTTGTCCGATAGAATGTTCTGCAGTGATGGAAATGTTCTGTATCTATTCTGTCCAGTAGGGCAGCCCCTAGCCACGTGTGGCTCCTGAGCACTTTCAGTGTGGCTCGTGAGACTGAGGAGTGGAATTTTACATTTTACTTAATTGTGTTTAATATAAATGTGAATGGCCGTGTGTACCAAGTAACTACTTACTGCACTGAGCAGTGAGGTTCCTAACTGTTTACAGAGAACACACAGTGGCTTTGCAAAGAGGGAAAAAAAAAAGAGCTTTTCTTTCTTCTTTTCTTGTTTGTTTATTTGTTCCGCTACTGGCAGATCTCCTTGGAGATCTTGGTAAGAGGCGCTGAGTGTCAGGGCTTTGCAAACTGTGAAGTGCTGTACTGAGGAGGTGCTGCCATCTCTGACTCTGTCCTCTCATCCAGCCCCCTTTTCGTCCTTCCCTCCTGGGCTCTGAGATAGAGCCCTGGCTAGAGGCAGCATCTCCAGGTGGTCTCTGGAAGTGGGGAGGGTGTCCTGGGGTCTGGCCCTGGCCGCTAAGGAAGCATTCATTCACTCATTCATTCACTCATTCAACAGTCATTGTGAGCCCTCCCGCTCCTGGCTGGGCACCGAGCTAGCAGAGGGGACAGTGCATATCAGTACCCCGTGGAGACGGGGTGGGACAGGCTGGGGAGTTACGGAGGGGAAAGTCACAGGGCTGGGACACGGAGGCCTGCCTAGGTCTGAGCTCCAGCGTGGCCTCCTCGGGGCCACCACTTAATCTCCCTAAACCTTCACTTTCTCTTCTATAAAAGCCAGAAAGGAGTGACACTGCCCTGTGGAAGCACAGGGGTGGCCAGAGCTGGGAAAGTGCACTACAAAGGCTCGCAGAGATGTTCATGGGGGAATAATTGGGTAGCGAGAGTCAGTCCAATGCCTACCATAGATATTATTATTCTTATTTTATCACAATGCATTATGGATTCTTTAAGCATAGTTAAGATATCAACCTTAGGGGGCGCCCGGGTGGCTCAGTCGGTGAAGCATCTGCCTTGGGCTCAGGTCATGATCCCAGGGTCCTGGGATGGAGCCCCGCATGGGAGCCTGCTTCTCCCTCTCCCTCTGCCCGCCGCTCCTCCTGCTCGCACTCTCGCGCGCTCTCTCTCTTTCCGACAAAGAAACAAAATCTTAAAAAAAAAAAAAAAATACCAACCTTAGGAAGACCAAAAGAAGATGTAGTCATCCACCCACGAGATGGTTCCCTTGTGATGTTCCAGGCCAAGGGGGAGTAGGGTTCTGTCTGGAAATACGGACCCAGATTACAGTTCTCCCCTTGGGATCCTGGCAAGGGAACAGAGGGGACACATAAGGAAACAGGCCAGCTCCATGCCAGCGTCCCACTGGTATACGCCTGGCCACTGGGGACGCCGTGGTACAAGAGAGCCTCTGCTCTCAAGAAGCTTCCGAAGGAAGCGGGGAGGCAGATGTTCATCAAATAGCCACTCGAATATATAATTACAAAGTGTGATAAGGGTTAAGAGGAGTAAGCAGAGTGCTGTGAAGACATGTCATGGGAGATGAGTTGATCTCATGGGAGTAGGAGGGTCAGAGATGATGTCTCTGAGGAGAGCAGGATGTGAAGGGGCTTAATAAGGGATGATGGGCCCCGGTGGGAGGGAGACGAGTGCTCCCGAGGCCACTGTGGCTGGAACCAGTAGGCAGAAGGGATGGGGTCTGCTACATGGCTGGGGAAGGGGCAGAGCCCGCCGGGTCGGCCGGACCATGCTCGGGAGCCGATGAACCGTGGCAGGGGAGGGCCGGTGAGAACAGTTGTTCATTCTGGGATGAATGCTGGTGGGGCAGGATGGAAGCAGGGTGGGCACAGTGTGGCTGATGTAAAGGGGTGGCAGCGGGACGCAGAGATGGGGAGTGATTTGGGAGCTGTTTGGAGACTTGGCATTGGATTCGCCCTGGGGGAGGTGGCAGGGGGGGATCCTAGTGTGATAAGTTCTGTGAAGGAGGAGGGTCTGATTCAAGCTGACTTGAGGGCCTTCGGCGCAGGCCTCCCAGACGGAGCCCATCTCTGCCGGGCTGTGGAAAGGGTTGCGGCGCCCCCCAGTGGAGACAAAGGGGAAAGAGTCTCCGCCGTCGGTCTCCACAAAGACAGTCCTCCGTGCGCTTGCGGAGCTCGCAGAGAAATGAAACTAAGGTTTGTTGAGTCCTGGCGGCGTGCCAGGCCCTGTTCCAAGTGCTTTACCTTCATCGCCGGATTTAGTCCCCACAACAGTCCTCGGACATCGGTGCTATCACAACTCCCATTTTACAGAGGAGGAAACTGAGGATCAAAGAGGCATTGAGGCTGGGATGTGAACTCCAGCCCAGTCCCACCTTCTCGCCGTGCTGTCATACTGCTCTTGTGGTTTGTGGTCACTAGAGCCCCGAAGAGTTGGAGAAGGGGGAAGGGGTGAGGCGGAGGCTGGAGAGATGGACTCCCAAACACTGACGGGCTGCACATGTCAGGTTAGGGGGTCTGGACTTGGCTGTGGCAGAATGGGTAGTACCTTCTTCGGGTGGAGGTGGTGAGGGCAGATGTGCTTTTTTGGAGAAGTCACTCTGGGACCAGATAGGGGGATCAGAGAGGGAGAGACTGAGGAAGGGCATGGGGGTGTCCGGAGAAGGGGCCACCTCAACAGTGGGGGGCAGGCTGTGAGGCGGGAGCAGCAGGGCTCTTGGCAGCAGGGGTGGACTCCAGACAGACAGTTCCAAGAGAGAGTCAACAGGGTGGCTGGCCGGCGGGAGTGTGGGGTGAGAGGATTCAAACTTGGGTCACAGGAAGATGCTGTTTATTTTATTCATGCATAGAGCAAACTTTTGCCCAGCACCTACCACGTGCCAGGTTCTGAGCAAAGTGCTGAGAACACAGAGAAAAAAAAAGATGAAATTGGTAGGAAGCCAAGAAGGGAGATGGGAAACGCAGGAAGAGAAGAAGGAAGGGGGGAGACAATGATGAGTTTGGTTGGGAATGTATTGAGTTGGAGGGGTGGGGAGCAGCTATGTGACAATATCCAAGGGGCATTGGATAAAGGGTCTGGGACTCAGGAGAGAGGCATATTTGAGATATAGGATTTAGAAAATCAAGTCTTGAGCACAAACTTGGTAAATTTATTGAACATTATTGAATTGTACACTTAAAATGAGTTAATTTTTATGACATGAATTATGTCTCAATAAAGTTCAAACATGCAACTAGGAAAAAAAACCCCAATGAGTCTCAAAAAGTCATGAAAACAGGGAGGGGGTGAACATTCCAGGGGGAAGGCAGAGGGCAGGAGTGAAGGGGGGAGGGCAGGAGTGGGGGTAGTGTTGTAACATGGTGTGGCTGTATTTGGGCAGCTGTGAAGGATGTGCCTGGCTCGCAGGCTATTGAGCACTGGCTCCCTGCAGGTGCTGCGGGAGCCTTTGCTTCCTAGACTGAATCAATCCTCCTGACAACCCCGGAAACGGATGCCATCCTCATTTTACAGTTGGGGAAACTAAGGTTCAGAGAGGTTAAGCAAGTTACCCAAAGTCACATTGCCTTTATTAAAGGAGTAGAATCAGTTCAGTCCAGGTCTGTTGGTTCCAGAGTTTGGGCTTTTAATTAACACTCTGGACCAAGTTTTGCCACATATAACAAATGCCCCATCCGAGAAGAGGCAGACAGTGGGCCTGGAACCTGGGAGCCCACTGCCCCGAGGCCTGGGGCTGAGACACTGGCGCCACAATGGCGCCATCTGCTGGCCCAGATGTGGAGCTTAGCCGGCGATGGGCAGGTGTTCATTCCCCAACTCGGCACAGTTCTATTTTTCTTCCCTCTCCTCACATTGCTTCCTCCCACCAGGCCTGAGAGCTAGTAGACAGGGATTATTGTCTGGCCTCAATTTACCAATGAGGAGACCAAGGCTTAGAGAGGAGAAGATGAGAAGTAGAGGAGGACCCAGGATTCAAGTCCCCATGTCCATGAGAGGCTCCCCACATCCTGTCCGTCCCCAGTGTGGGCTTGATCCCCACAGTACCCCCACGGGCATCCAGGGGCATCTAGGTCAAGTCCCTCCCTTTCTGCGTTACTAATGGGAAAACAGCTGCAGGCAGTGGCCTGACCTACCAACGTGTATCTTTGTGTGGGGGTTTGGCTTGCAGAGGTTACTTCAGGATTGACAGGGAGCATGCTGGGTTCTCGGGCTGAGCAGGAGCCCCGTCCGCTCTCTCCACTAGGGAACCTAAGCCGGGCAGCATTGCTCTTTGGAGAAATGACTGCCCTTTCTCCTTCCATAACCCCTCGGGTATTGTGAGTTTCCGGTTCAGGAAGGAGGGAGGGGAGAAAAAAAAAAAAAGTAGGCCCAGGTAGAAGAGAGGACAATAAGCTGGGAGAGGGAGAGGCGGGACCCCTGAGGAAGGGAGAGGGTGGGGCCAGAACAAGACCAAGACGGATGGTAAGGACAGCCAGGATCCTAAGCTGAGCCGCCACTGCTGAGGGACAGGCACTGAGGCAGGTACTTTACAGGGATATGACCCTTAACCCTCTCAATGACCCCGACAGACAAGAAGGATTGTTACCCTCCTTTACGGTTGAGGAGCAATATGAGGGAGTTCGAATAATGTGCTCAAGGTCACATGCAAGTAGATATGAAGCTGGCATCTAAACCCAGGAAGCAAGACTCCCGGGAGAGAGGGAATGATGGAAAGCAGAGAGAAAGGGGCAACAAGTTATGGGAACAGAGATCAGGCTGGGTGTGGGGCGGAAGCAAAGCGGTCCTGCTGCGGGGGGGTCTTGTCATCGAGTGTATGAATACATATGTGTCACAGGGAGGGTGTCCGAGAGTCTCTTGTCATGTCTTGGTAACAGCCATGGCCTGAGTTGTTGGGCTGTGGCTGAGCAAGCCAAGGTTGGTGAGTGGCCTTTCTTGGCCCCCATGTTTCGGGTTTGACTCCTGTAGTCATCCTTCCTGACTCAGCTGAGAAGTCACCTCCCCTGGGAAGTTGACCCTGCAGAGGCTGGTTAAGGCCTGCCTCTCCATCCCCCAGCTGCTCTGGCTCAGCCAGGAATCAGGTAAGTCTGGTTCTCTGACCTGTTCTCCTGGTTGTCCTGGGAGGTGGGCACTGAGGCCAGACCCAGGGGACAGGAAGAAAGGAGGGCAAGCCTGAGGAAGACAGGCAGCGTGTCCCCCACCTTCCCCAACCACTGTCCCAAGCTGGCTGGGCTCCTCTTTCCCCCCCCTTCCTTCTCTAGGAACCAAGGGGACTAAGGAAGCCATCATGGGACAGCCAGGCCAGACCACCCCACCAGGCACCTGGTTAAGGACTGCCACTGGACACCCCCCTCAACATCCCCGGGAACAGGGGTAACAGAAGTAGGAAACTCCCCCGCAGCCCCTCTACCCCCGACTGCAGGCCTCATCCGGAAGCAGGGCTTGGAGATAGTGACAGATGGGGGTCTCAGGCACGGCGGGGTGCACAGCTGGGGTTTGAACCAGACGGTCTGGCTCCAGAATGGGCGCCCCTAGCCACCGCGCCACGTACTTGTATCGTTGGGCTGTCAGCAGTTTTCATGTGACTCGGTCATCGGGACTGATCATCACTTTTACCTCGCTGCTGTTTGTCTGGCTCAGCATTTTCTGATCACTCACTGGTGCCAGGCCCTGTGCCGGGATAGAAAAGGAGGCAACAGAGAGCTCCCTGTCTGGTTCTGGTGGGAGATAGACACTTAAAGAAAACCCGCACTAGCAAGTGATTGGCTCCATGGCAGGGGCCTCTGCAAGGCACAAAGGAGGGAGAGAGAAACCTTCGAACAGGTGACCAAAAGCAGAACGAGCGGCTGAAAGAGAATGAGTGTTTGCAAGCTGAGCAAGGTCTTGAAGGATGAATAGGGGTTTGATGGGCAAAGAGGGAGAAAGAACATTCCAGAGAGAAGGAACAGCAGGTGCAAAAGCGAGGGGGCGTGAAACAGCACAGTAGGTTCAGGGAAACAATCATTTGGTAAAACTGGAAGATAAAGAGGAGGAGGCGTTGTGGATGTTTCCAGGTATCAGGGTGTTTTTTCATGGTGTAGTGAACGGTGGCGCTACAGAGCGAGGGGTTTTTTTGTTGTTTTTGTTATTGTTTCTCCGACTGGTGACGTTCATTTCCTTTTTTGCGCATTTCTGCATTTCCCAAATTCTTGTCTTCTTTAATCATAAAAATGTATGTGAATACGATTTTTACTTTTTTAAATTATGTTTTTGTTGACGTAGAGTTGACGCACAATGTTACATTCGTTTCAGGTGTACAACACAGTGATTCCACAGGTCTGTACCTTCGGCTGTGCCCACCACCAATGTAGCCGCCATCCATCACCATACAACATTGTTACAATACCATTGACCGTATCCCCTATGTTGCACCTCTGATGCCCGTGGCTCACTCGTTCCCACAGGGCAGTGTTTTAAAAGCTGGCCGGGAGGGGGCGCCTGGGTGGCTCAGTCGTTGGGCACCTTGCCTTCAGCTCAGGTCATGATTCCAGCGTCCTGGAATCGAGCCCCGCATCGGGCTCCCTGCTCAGCGGGAAGCCGGCTTCTCCCTCTGCCTGCTGATCCCCCTGCTTGTGCTTGCTCTCACCCTCTCTCTCTCTGTGTCAAATAAATAAATAAATAATTAAAAAAATAAATAAATAAAAGCTGGTTGTGTGGACTTAGGTAAGTAAGTTCCTTAACTTCTCTGAGCCCCTACTTTCTTTTCTGTAAATTGGACTATAATATAAACTACCTCAAAGGCAAAGGACTCTAGTGAGGGTTAAATGAAATAATATCTGTTAAGTGCCTGAAACAAAGTAAGTGCTTGCTAAATGATAGCCACCTGTAGTCACTGTTATTGTGAACAATTATTACGAATATGTAGTTACTTTAAAAATATGCCATTACTTAAAAAAAAAAGCAACAAGCAAATTTCCTTTTTTCAGATGGACTCGCAGAAGTGGACAAGGAATTTAAGAGATCAGACAGCACACGCTGAATTAATGAAGTTAAATTATTTACACAGAATCTCCCTCCCTCAAACTTAAAGGCAAAGTTCACAGTTTTATAGTAACCCCCAGGAGTATGCAGAAGCAGAAACATGGGAAGAAACCCAATGTCTTCAATAGCCCTGGGGTTTTGTTTCAAAGTGTTTCAAAGCACTGTAATCTATGGTTATATATGTGTGCGATTTATCTTTTTAACTTTTTCTTGAAATATAACACACACAAGTCTTAAGTGCCTAGCTCAATTCGTTGTCACAAGTGAATACACATGCATGACCTGATCAAGAAGTGAACATGACCAGTCCCGAGAAAGCCCCCTTCTCTGGCCCCCAAGTCACCTCCTCTCCCAGAGGTAGCTGCCATTTGAGAATTCTTTAATTATCGGTGTAGATAGCGTCTGTATGCCCCCACGTAGGGTTTTCTTTGGGCTGCTGCAACAAACTGTGACTTAAAACAACAGAAATTTATATTCTCACAGTCCTGGAGGTCAGAAGTCCAAATCAAAATGCTGGTTGCAGGCTTGGTTCCTTCTGAAGGCTGATGCGGAGAATCCATCCCATGCCTTTCTCCTAGCTTCTGGTGGCTCCTGGCAAACTTGCTGGTGTTCTTGGAATGTGACAGCCCTCCAGTCTCTGCTTCTGTCTCCATGAGGCCTTTCCCTCAGTGTCCCTCTGTGTCCCATCTGTCTCCCATAAGGACATGCTCATTGGACTTAGGGCCCACCATCATCCAGGATGATCTCATCTCCATCCTTAATTACATCCGCAAAGACTCAAATAAGGTCATATCCTGAGTGGATATGAATTTTCAGGGGATACTATTTAACTCATTACACCCTACAAGCCTGCAAACCCCAGAGGAGCCAGTGGTGTCCGTCATCTTTGGATCCCCAGAACCTAGCCCTGGGGCCTGACTTAATGTGAGCTGCTCACGAAACGCTGGCTGAAGGGATGAATAGCTGTGCCCTGGCACGTGGTGGGTGTCAGGCTGGTGAGTGAATGATGAGTGACTGAGATTCAGACATGGGCTGAGGGTGAACGCAGAAGGTAGAAATGATAATGGGTGCTGTCCCTTGAGCACCTGCCTTCTATGTGTGGTTCCATTTAATCCCACGTTATGGATAAAGTAGGGGGACTGTGCATCCCGATTTATCTGGGACGATGTCAGTTTGTGCCCATGGTCCCAGGATGGCGAGTATGTATTTCTTGCCTACTCTGCCCTTTTGTTCTCAGAAGTGTCAATAAACTGTGTGGTCACTCCCCGGATAAGGCGGCCGAGATCTTAAAGTGTCCTGAAGGGAATACGTTCAGCACCTGATTTGTACCCACCTGAGGTTCTAAAGCCCTTGTCCTCACCTGCTAGTATGGCAGTTGCAAATTAGGGGGCAGGGATAAATAAGCTGGTGTCATCCAACTATCTCGAGAGAGAGGGTAGAGGGTGGGCCTCCTCCTGGGACTGCTGGAGGCCAGCTCCCTCCCTGCTCCGGTCCACTGATCTGTGGAGGAGAAGAGGTGGCTCCTGGGAAGGAAGGGACCCCCTGGAGGACCCCAGTTTGGAGGAGAACAAGACCTCAGAGATGGAGGATGAAAAGAGGGGCCCCCTTCTGTCCAGGCAACCCCTTAGGAGAAAGGTCTCAAGGGAGAAAGCCCCCCAGGGGACATTGTCCCCTTTCCCTGCTGCTCAAGAAAAAGAGGCCCGCAGAAAAGACTGGAAAGTTTCTGAACATGGGCATGACAGAGGGCTCACTCTGAACTCTGCATCTTCCTCCTCAACCCTCCTTTTCCAGATTCCCCATCTTGGTCCATGAACTCCCAACCACACGGACTAGCTACATAATTCACAGGGCCCAGTGCAAAATGAAAATGCCGGGCTCCCTTCTTAAAAAGTTGTGAATAACTTCAGGACACTGACAGCCGGGCATGAAAGAGGCACTGAGCCCTTCTGAGTGTGGGACGGGGCGGGTCACACGGCCAGGAAGCCGGCCCTACAACCACCCATTACCCACACTGGAAACCTGGCTGCCATCTTTTGCCTCTTCCTCCGCCTACCCCACCCATCGAGTCCTGTGGATTCGAACTCATGAAACGGCTGCCCCGTCTGCACCCCAAATGCCGTGCCTCCGATCTAGGCAGCACTTCTCACCCCTGGACAATCGCAGCCATTCCGACAGCCTCCAGCCTTGCCTGCTCTGGCCCATCCTTCCCGCGCAGCCACAGAGCTCGCTCCCTACAGGCCAACCTGACCCTAGCACGTCCCAGCCACCCCCAGTGGCACCTGCAGTGGATTGAACTGTGTTCCCCCCACATTCACGAGGTAAAGCCCTAAGCCCTAATGGTGACTGTATCTGGAAATAGGGCCTTGTAGAGGTAATTGGGATTAAATGAGGTCACAGGGTGGGGCCCTGATCTGATTGGACTGGTGTCCTTATAGGAAGAGACAACAGTGAGCTGGCCCCCACCCTCTGCCCAGCACAAGCACAGAGGAAACAATGCTAGGCAAGGACCCAGCAAGAAGGTGGCCATCTACAAGCCAGGAAGAGACCATCACCAGAAACTGAATCTGTTGCCACCTTGATCTTGGACTTCTGGCCTCCAGAACGCTAAGAAAATTTATTTCTGTTCTTTAAGCTATGGAGCCTGCGGTATTCTGTTATAGCAGCCTGAGCTGATGAATACGGTCCCCACTGCCTAAGCTCTGTTCCTGGTCCTTGTGGCCCTGTGTGCTTGGGATCTACCTCTCCGGCTCTTGCCAGAACATCTTCTTTGCTGTCTCTGGGGGCTCCACAGGCTCTCTGTCCCCTGGCTCTTCCACACGCTCTTCTACCTGGGGACTGTCCTCTCTACCTCCTCAGCTGGCCAATGCCTGTTCCTTTTTCAACCCCAGCTTGGAAATGAAACATCCCTGACACCCCCCACCCCTGCACAGTCAAGGTGGGGCCCCTCTTCCCTGCCCCCACACCCCCTCCAGGCTCCCCCTCTTGTCGGTTGCACTTGTTACTCATGTCACTGCATATTTTGGGCTTCTCTTGCCTGTTGTTCAGGAGCTCCTAGGGACAG